AACCGCAACCGCACCTTTGTCAAGTATGAGCTGTTGACAGGCGGGAATCCGTCATGATGAAACTTCTTTTTTGGTTTTAGTTAGTGTTAGTGACAAGGAGATCTGGGAAGGGTTCGGAAGAAGCTCTTTGAGCGATATTCCCTACCAGCTTTCGCTCTAGAGTGCCCTACGCGAACTACTAGCTGGGTACCTGTGTAACGTCTGGTAAAAGAGATCTCGAAAAGACAAGAGCGAGAGGAAAAAGAAAGAAAAAAACTCCTCCCTCCCCTGCACGCACGCGCCGCCCCATCATTGGCTTCGGATTGGGGAGGAGGGGAGGGGGGCCGTATGGCGTTCGACGATGGGAGATCGTCGCCAACAACAGAAGCAAAAGAAAGTGTAAAAACAGATGAAGAGAATTTCCTTTCTTTTCTTTTTGCGATAGTCGAAAGGAGGTTGGAGCGCTCGAGCGCGCTAGAAGAGAAGGATCTCTGGGAGAATTGAGTCTCTCATCTCTACTGATCTAGAAGTACCGAAGCAGAGAACCTAGCTAGCCCAACGACTCATCAGTAGGTACCACTTTTTCTGGTGTCCATTATCTAATAGACGTAACTCTCTCTCTCTCCCACTCTTCAAAAAAAGAAAACATATGTGCACAAAAATCGCCCGCATAAGGGGGTGGGTGAGTGAGGTGAGGTGAGGAAGATTGAGATTGAGATTGAGATTGACGGACACGCCATGCCTATCCATGCCATGCCTATCCATGCCAGCCAGTCAGTCCCAGATGAAATTACTGGTGTTTTTTCTTTTCAAGCAAATTGATGTGGCAGTTTCTGTTTCTCACCATGGTCTCTCATTTTTTTTTACCTTCTTGCTTTTTTGCTTTTTTGCATTTTAAGTCTAAGTCCTGACTGACCAATTTCCTGGGTTTTCGCGTGGCTGGCTGATGTGATAGAAGCTTCGATTAGATGGGGGAGAAACTTCAGATCTGGGTTATTTTTTTTCGGGGGGGGGGGTGGCCCTTCCTCTCTCTTTTTTTTTTGCGCTTTTGTTGGGCCGGATAGGATCTCATGCCAGTGCTCTGGACGGCGCTCCCCGTACTTCTGTATCATGATCTGAGCTGGATTTTGACAGATGAGATAGATAGCCAGCCAGACAAGGCAGTCCTTGGATAAATGAAAAAAACGTTTTATTTTTTCCTTTGCTTTCCTTTGCTTTGCTTTGCTCCCTCTCTTCCCTCTCCCGCGGTCCCTTCCCCCACAGCCGCCTCCGCCGAGCTAGCTGATCGGAAGTGAGTTTATGCCTTACGACCCAGCTGGTCTGTGTTTCGCGCGGAGGATGCCAGATAGCTGGGTCGACTAGAGTAGACGTACAGGAGCAGCAGCAGCAGCAGCAGCAGCAGGAACTGCCAATTCTCGTATTTGAGGACGCCCCTTTCATTTCGGTTTTCCTTTTCGTTCTAACATTACTGTACTGTACCTACCAACTCACTCCCCTTCTTACTCATGTAGAGCATATACGTATGTAGAGTAGTTTTTAGTTAGTTGCAGCACCCGGTAGAGAGAAAAAGCTGTAGTGAATGAGGTAGGAGACATAGGTTTACCGGGTCATAATTGATTCTTTTTTTCTTTTTTTCTCCCACCACTCGAGCAGCATTATGAGATATCAATCTCCTCGCTCGCAACGCAATCTCCAATTGGCCAACAAGAAGCCAAGCAAGCAAGCGGAAGGGGGGGGGGGCGCCGGGTGAATCCGAAAGGGCGATTTGCGAGCTTTTTTGATCAAGCGAAGAGACACGAGATCTTGGGAAAGGTCCATCACCAGTTTTTTTCCCTTTTGACCAGAAAAAGGAAAGAAAGAACAAAAAAAGCAATTTCCCTCACGGGCTATGGGTCACAGATGATCACACACATCCACACACACCACAGGGTATATTTGTAGAACCCAGCTGAATGGATGGACCTGGACCTGGAGGACCTGGGTGTGAATAGATAGATGGGTGGATGGGTTGGTGAGCTGCAGATGCGTCAACGCATCTGCTTTTGGTCCATTCCCGGCGGGTCGAAACCGCTTGTCGATGAAATCGATCACGGTTGCGCGTGGAGTGGATGGTGGAGGTTACATGTAGGGGCACTAGCGTGTTTAGCGTAATGTAACGCCTTTTTTTGCGAGGTGGGAGTGCTAGGCTGGGCTGGGCTGCTGCTGGGCTGCTGCTGGGCTGGCAGCTAACCCCCATCCATCCACCCATCCATCCATCTGCTGCTATCCTCACCCCCAGGGTCTTCAATCAACGATTATTTCTCTCCGCACTATTGTGGCCGCCGCCGAAGGGACTAGAGATGTAGACTATATTTACGGGAGCCGCTAAAGCCGGTAAGGAGACGAGAGGGATTTGGGGGGAGGGGGGGTGGAAGGGTCATATGAAAGTGTGAATTGTGCATTGCGGCGCTCAAGAAGTGGACATGTATGGTGGGTTTATTTTTATTTTATTTTTTTCTCTCTGTCTTCATGCTCTCTTGCCTTTCCTTTCTTTTTTGTGGTACTGGGGTGTGTTTTCCTTCTTCTTTTTCTTTCCTTTTTGTGTGTGAAGCAGTTCCACCAATTGCAATCCAATTGATATTCCTATTCTAGCCGCCTTGAGGAGGAGGAGGAGGAGGAGGAGGAGGAGGAAGGGTAGGTAGGAAGGCCGGTGGACGTAGATATAAAACAGCTGCGCAAATAATAATGATAATAATAATAGACATCCCCCCCCCCCCTCCCACTCCCTTTACCGGCTTAGCTACTAACTACATAACCTACCTCATGATCTCCGCCGGCGGCGGGTTTATCATAAACTACAGGAATTTTTTCTCTTTCTTTGCCTGCGCGTGGGAGAGAGATCGGCGCAACTGTTTAAACAGGAATTAAAGTAGCTGGTAGGGGTGTGGGAAGGGGGTAGGGAGGGGAGAGTCAAATCGTCGATGTAGGCCCGTTTGATCCCCGGCCCTGGTATACCCTGTTGCCTTGAACGGTTTCTGCTGCGTTTTTGTTTTGGCGCCTGGGTTACTCTACGTTTGGGGGGGGGGGGGGGGGCGTGAGGTAGGTACCGTAGCCTAGGTACATACATTTAGTTAGATATTGTGATATTGTGATGTAGGGCGGAGGAGGTTCATACCAGTAGATGTATGTACCTATGATATGTAGGTAGAAGGGAAGGAAGAGAAGCAGAGGGGAAGGTTGACACTGTAACTGGATCCATCATCATGTCAGCTCCATCGTGTTGGCTGGATGGATGTCATGTTCTGTTTTAAACCTTTGGCCGTTTCTGCTCAGGTGTCAAAAAGGAAGCACATACCTACATGTACCCAGCTGCTCATGCTGCTGCTTCTGCTGCTACATTACTAGCCGCTAATATGTATCTGGAATTGGGTTATTGGGTTGCTATCTGTTCGTCATTCTGACTTGCCCATTTGACCCTGTCTGTACCGTGTGGCGGCTGTGTGGCTACGGATCTTTGAGTCAAGTTTGAGGTTTTTGTCTTTTGTGAGGTGGTTGTAGCAATTGGAGAGAGGGAACGAATTCAAAGAGGGCGAGAGATTTTCTGCTCCTACTATTACTACTCCTACTACTACTGCTACTACTACAACTCCTTCTTCACCTCTTTCCATCTCTGCGCGCGCAACATATTTTTGTCTCTAGCTATATACATTACCCTTTGAGATTAATCTCGATTTCCACCTCCACTTCATATCTCGGTTCCTCGCGAAACACCCTGCATTAGCTAGTGTTAGTTATATCTCCATCTAGCACTTCCACTTGCTTCCCCGTTTTGCGCAGATCTGCTTGTTGCTTGGTTTTCTTGAAAGCAGCTCTGCTCCCGGGAGGTTTCTATTTATTGCCTGGTTTCGTAGTAGTTTCCCAGGCGGGATCCTCCTCTCATTTTTTTTTTTGTGTGTGCTTTCTTTTTCTTCTCTTTTCCTCCTTTGGCCTCATCTGAAGAAAAGAAGGGAAGGGAAAGACAGAAAGAAGAAGCTGTGTACCGTACATCTACATACGCCCAGTGACCATCATTTCAATACTTTACTTATCCACCCATCCACATCCATATCCATCCACCCATCCACCTTAAAGCAGAACTTGGACCCCAAGAAAAGAAAGTCGCTGTCATCATCTCGATCTAATAATCCCAGCCCGCCCCGTCCGCGTCCTCCCATTGTTCGCTGTTCTGTTCTGACCAGCCATCATCATCACATCTTCCCTCACTCACAGCTTCTCTGTCTGTCTCTCTGCGCTGCTGCTTCTGCTGCTTCTGCTTCTTCATACATACATCCCACACTCCACTCCCACCCCCGTTCCATACCAATACGTACATATTCGTACATACACACACATTTCGTGCGTACATACACTACAGACAGTCTACAGACAGACCGTCTGGACAGAAGACTGAACGACAGACCAGACCAGACACACCCACTCACTCACAAACACCCACACCCTCGACTCCACTCACACACACAAATACTCACTCACCGTACCGTACCTACCGTACTTTCCCTTCTGGTCATTTCCAGTCTCACATACATACATTACTACTTCTTGCGCTCGCACTTTCCCTCTATCTACTCTTTTCTCTCCACACCCTCCACACTCGCCCAGATCAAGAACACTACCACCCCAAATCCGTCAATTACTTCTTCTGCCGTCCCGGGTGTCTCCCTCTGCCTGTTGGTCCGACCATCCCCTCGCTTCAATCTTCCTACATACTGCCGCGCTCCTGCTCGTTGATTTCCTGAGTGAGTGTAAAAGTAAGTCTACATAATATTCCTCACCTCACAACCACCCATCTTTATATCACATCCAGACAGAAGCCTCCCCGGTGCCGCTGTTAGATCGTTGGATCGATCTCTAGTCTCGCTAGGCTCAACCCACCACCACTACATACATACATACATACATACATACATACCACACACCCTAACTTAACCCAACCCTTCCCACCTCTTACCACTGCCACCCCCCCCCCCCGCAAAAAGCTTCATATGCTCACAAAAGTCCCCCCCTTACCAGGACGGACATAGATAGAAGCAACAGAAGAGCGAGCTTCCGCCACCTGTTCGCATAACATAATACCTACTTATCCCCAGGTCCTCCCATCTGTCGTCGCAGACATTCGTTTGTTGCTCCTACATCCGATCAACTACATAACACCCACCTATCCCAACGTCACGCCTGGCCTTCTTTACAATCAGCCAGGAACCAAGATAATAGAACACATCAGGGTTGTGTTTTTGTTGTTATATTATTATTAGTGTAGTAGTTCGATTCACTTACTCACCGGAACCCGGTATCTACCCTTTACCTACATACTTATTACAACTACAACTACTACTACCACTACTACCTTCGTCAACTCTTGCTGGTCTATTGCTGCGTTGGTAACTAGCCCTGGGAAACTTTGCGACGGCTGAAGTTTCATTATCCTCAAGGAACAATAGAAATACTAAAACTCCAATCTTTTTTATCGCAGATTGCATCAATTCGCCTGCCTGCAGTTGTGTCCGCGGTAAATCTTAAGGCTGAGTCGTTGTGATTAGCCTTTCGTCGCTGTCGTTCGTTCGTTGTCGTTGTCGTCGACCACGACCATCCACCACTACCCACGGTCCAGCCCTTTAGCTCCAGTAACACACTAGTCTCAGCTACCGGCGGCTCGCCTCCCGCCTTATTCAAGAAAGTTACCTCCATCTCGAGATAAGCCTTCAACATTCTTCACTCCGCGATCCTGTTATCACCTCCTTTGTCTCCCGCCACAGGCATGGAGTCATCGGAAAATAGAAGGCAGAGGTATGTAAAGAATAGCCACACACTTACCCAATAACCTTTCTTCACTACCTACCTCACTCCACCACCTTCTTACACCCCCCCTTTTCAAACTCTCTACCTTATTATCCGCTACATTCATACCTCTCTGTATGCTTTACCTCTTTACTCCTCAATAGGTAGAGACGACGTAATGAATACGCTTTTTCAAGGGTTTCAACTACACAAGACTCAAGGATACCTTTAAATATTAAACAGACCTGAGCCTAATCTTAGCCTTTTAGTGATACTCTGCCATCGATGTCCACTTACATGGGGGGATTCGAGGGGGTAGCGGGGGAGAGTACTCGATACCACCAGCAAAATTCGTCTATAAATCGCACAAGCATATCGACAGCCTCGCCCATCAGTCCAACAACCACATTTGGCCCAACGCCACCACTGTCGTTTCCACCTCCAGCACCATCGCACAGCGGCTACAACACACCACCCGACTCGCGAAAAACATCGAGGAATGAGGATTGCAGGCAGACTCTGCCGCCGCTGGCGGAGGGACGGCAGTCGTTACCGTCATTGTCGGAGGCTCTGTGTAGGGATGACCGATTTCCAGCTCCATCACCAATGCAGACACCGCCTCTAGGCCAAGGTTCATTCTCGGGGCCTTCAGGACCGCACCCAGATTCGATGCCGAGGAGTCAACCGGAGACGCTGCCAAGTGTGCAGACGCTACCACTGTCGGGCTCGACAACTTCGAGCTCGTTATACTCACATTCAACGCCGTTACCTCCTCCCCCACCGGCGCCGCAGAGCTCAGCAGGTCCTAGCCCGATGCACAGCCACGAATCATATAACCGACGAAACAGCCAAGAGCATTCAAGGACGTTACCGCCTAACCCTTATGCAGCTGCACCTCCCCAACCTGTCATTCCTGCGATTCGACCCAGCGACCCGTACCCAGCACCACCAACCAACGGCCACTCCTCGTATCAGCCATCACACCCTTACCCTCCGCCCCCACCGCACCATATCACATCACCGCAATACCCACCGACACCGTCGTATAGTAACGGCAGTAGTACATCACAACAGTATCCGTTCCCACAGCATTCAAGTGCTCCGCCACCCCAGTCAGCATATCAGCCACACCCTCAACCTCCGCATTCAACTTCGTCGTACTCATATCCTCCGCGAGATGCATATCCGCATGACCCACCACAAACGTCGCCTGGTTCAGGGGGAGGGATGAAGAGGAATTATGGATCTACAATAGAGAGGGCGCTTTCTATCTCGACATTGCGAAGGGACTTTGATTTGGTAAGGATTTAAGGATTATATTGGAAGAAACTTGAAATTCTAACTTTTTTTATTTTTTTTTACAGACCAAAGAAAATTCGGCGAAAATCTACTACATTGTACAAAGCTGCCAAGATGTTGCTAAAAACTTACAACCGAACCTTTTGGACCATTGTTTGAGGGAATTGTCGGACGCGATTGATTGTTCGACTCGGAATACGGAGGCTCTGAGAAGCTGCCAACAGGTATTTCAGGAATTATGTGCAAAGGAATATGCGGAGCAGAATGCTGCACAGAGAGTGAGCACCAACCACTCGTCGGAATATGGGGGCGACGACAATCATGGGTATGCGGATGATACCAGGTCAAATGGATCGGCACAACCCGATGCCAAGAAAATCCGGAGAGGCGTGAGTGCTCTTGTGTGCCCAAAGTGGTTTTCGTAGTTTTCATCCCCGCTGACTTGAAACAGCGGGCTGCACCACCTGGGCGCTGTCATAGCTGCCACCGGGCCGAGACACCTGAGTGGAGAAGAGGACCTGATGGCGCGAGAACGCTCTGTAACGCCTGTGGACTACGTATGTCACATGCACTCTGGTTTTTTTTCTTCTCGAGGGGTGGATAGGGGGACAGCTATACTGATTAAGATTGAAATTGAAACAGATTACGCTAAGCTCACCAGGAAGTTGAGCAAATCCAACATGAACACGAACGGAAGCGGACAAATCGCGGGAAGGAACGCACCAAATTCGCCCCTACCATAGCGAGCGCAGAGTGAGAAAAACCAGCCACATTTTTCTTTATGTTTACTTTTTCTTATTGCCGATGGTTTATCTTTTTCCCTTTTTTGCATTTGATGACGGTGTGTGGTGCCATGCTACCCAATAAACCCCTGGCTAGGCCAGGTTAGTTTTTTGTTTTCCATTCATGGGGGTCTTGGGGCGTTCTTCATGATCATGATTTTTCTTGTAGCGGTGTTATATTTTCTTTTCCGTTTTGATCTTTTGAGCCTGTTTTTATTGACAATTGTTTCTTCTTTCTTCACATCTGCGATTTGTTCTGTCGTATCAGCGCTCTATTTAAACGGATCTCACCTTTTCCCTCTTCTTTTTTCTTTTGTACGGACGTTTTTCACCACCATATCAAATTCCACTCGTCGGCGAACGGGGAATCCACCTTTTCATCTTCTTTCTTCTCCCACTGCAATTGATCTAATCCACAGAAAAACTGGGGTTGAGTATTTGTGCGTGTAACTTCTTTTTTGGGGGCCTTATTCTTATTTCCTTTGTCAAAACTTTTATTTTTTCTTTTTCTCTACAGGTAACTAAAGCTTCTTTTTTTTTGGCATCGACACATCAAATGTATATCGCATTTTATTCTGGGTTAGGAAATAGGAAACTAGGGTATTCAAGAAGTCAAAAAATAAATAAAAAAAGAAGTAAGCTTCATGGAAGAATCCGCCGGTCCGTACACCTGGTGTCCTTATTTTTTTTGCCTGATCGATCCATCTCACTACCACGGTTATATATATTATTATTATTATGTCCCTTTTTTTTCCTGTCGACCGGCCAGCTTAGGTAAATCAGGGGATATCTCATTAATTTCCCACCTACCACCTAGGGCCTGCCTACATCCACAACCACACTACCGTCACAATTGCCAGTACTTGCCAGTCTCACTCTTCACACTGTTTTTCTCGCCGTCATCCGCCATCCGCCATCCGCAATGGAAAAGATGATTAGTAGTACATCATATTGTGTAGTTCTCATTTTTCCACGATGTGAGACCTCCCAAACAAGCCCCCTCAAAAAAAGGAAAGAAAAAAGTAAAATGGGGGGAAGATGAGGGAGGAGGGGGGTGTTGGGTGGGGAACGAATATAGTAACCTACCCGTAGTGGGGGAGCGTCCGTCGCCTAGACCACTCTCAGGGCTGCCACGCGAGCGAGAGGACCGCCGCCAGTTTTGGCTTGGCGTGGTGGAAGGAAAAATGGGAACAAAAGCTTAGCGGAGACTAAGCTGGAGTTGTACTAGAAAGATGTTCCCTCACCCCCACCCCCCCCCCCCCCCAGTAGCGGCGGGTACGGGAAGGAACGAGGGAAATGAGAAAAAAACAGGGTGGATGTGATCTCTAATGACATTGTCAATGCTGATGTGGGTTAGGGCTGGGTTGGTTAAGTTAGTATGGATCGTTGATGGAATGAATCTGCCGGAGAGATAGGAGGGGAGATTCGACCTGGGTGCTGTTAATTGACAACTGTACATGGGAGCTAGTTCGGAACGTTTTTCTGTTTTATGCGCCCTGTGGTTTTTCTTTCTTTTTTCTTGTGCTCTACTGCCGGCCTGACTGTTCGAATGACTATTCTGAAAGCGCACATAGCCGGCTGGGCGGTAGTAGTAGTAGAGTGTAGTTATGGTGGTGGTAAGTGGTGGTGGTGGTAGTTCTTCGTGGTTGTGGTTGTTGTAGTAATAATTGCAAATAGTTAACTTAGTAAGGGTGTAATAAGATTAGGCTAGCCTCCCTGTAGGTAACTGTTTTCTTACTATTTATTGATTGCTCCGCGGGACAACGCACGATATGCGATTCGCAAGGAGGATGTGTATCTGGAGTCAGGGAGATCAATTTCCCCGGTCAGTAGGTATATAGTAGTTCATGTAGGGATTAATTAATACCAAAAAATAAATGAAATACATAATTCATGGGAAAAAGAAGGCGCGGTAGTACAGTTTGAGGAACAGTGTGTGAGATGTGATATGAAGGAAAGGGTGGGTTTTGATTGAGTACTGCACCAGGAAAGATTTGCACGATCGGTTCGGTTCTCTCGGCGCGCGGGGAGAAGGGTATATACGTTTATTCTATGGGAAGTTTTGATCGGTTTGGGGAAAATCACCGTTTAAACAACTTCAGTCAGAGTGAAGGAACCAGATGAGCATCTAGCTAAAGGAAACAAACGACAAATCTACTAACATGTGAGAGAAGTGGCTTCTCTCCTAGCGAAGCCTCTGAGTGGTCTATCTAACTTTGCAATGCATGATGGGGGGGGAGAGCGAGGAAGATAGAGTGGCCCACGTTGGAATTCCCGATTTTCCTTCCCAGGATTACAACCTTCCGACGGCGCTTTTTCAAGTTTGGCTCGATCCTTCATCGTGGGCGGCTGGCTGTCCTAGGAAAGGTGCGTGGCTCGTCATAGAGCGCTGTGGAATGGCTGGACCAGCTAATCAGCACCGGCGAGGGCTTGCCTGTTCATTGGGGGATCCATGTGTTTGGTATCCGGTGGACAGGCAAGGTTTATCTTGGTTGGTTGGTTAATTATGGGGTGTTCAATAATGGGGTGCTCATATGAGAGAAAACGAGACGGCATAATTCGTGCCCGCTTTCTATGCACAAGCTGCATCGGCTCGGTAATCTTGCTTATGGGGGAGGGGGGTGTCTTCCTCAAACTCGGTGCGGGATTATTCGTATGGTTTAATACTGGGAATGTG